TTAGTGCACAAACAGTATTTTATCATGCTAAACTAACCTCTCTTTAATTCGGCATGAGGAAATTATTTATTCGGCATATTCTACAATCAGGTGCCGATTGAGACTTCGCTTTCATGTTTGTTGACCTTAACCACCAGATACTCACACCCAGGGCTAGCGTTTTCGCTGTGTTTATGATAACTGTTAGTTTTGGTTTCAGTGCAGTGTTTCTTGTTTAATCTGTACATTTTTTTAACTGCTTCAATTTTTATCTTATGTATTTTTTTTATCTTCTATATTCTTTAAAATTATATTGTCACTCGGCAAAATTGGTCCATCCAACACGGTCATGTCCCTGAACGTGCAGGATCATGGAAAGGTTACTAAAGAGTGCGACTAACGGAAGGAAGGACAATGAAAGAAGGGTTATATATATATATATATCTTCTGCTTCATTGGCACAACCGCCCCATACGGGGCCAAGGCTATTTGCCTACTGGCAGATTTTGAGACAAGAGAGGCTTTTTAACGGGGTAGGGCTGTCAGCCCCCTACACCCCGCAATCATATTAGAGCGAGAACTATTGTTTAAAGTGGATTCCGAACCACTACAAACATTCATGCATCGCCTGGACTAGAACCCAAAGCTTGTGGCACCGAGCGCCAGATCGCTAGTCATTCGGCGCCATCAGGCCCTTATATATATATATATATATATATATATATATAAGGGTGATACAACGATTATGTGACTAAGTTTGAGGGATGGTACAGCTTATTAAAATATGCATAATTCTCATAGGAATATAGGGTCGGAAGTGACGTGTTGCGGAACTAACATACTTCCAAACGAATTTCTTGCAGCAGCCAGAAATGCCCCAGCTGATACTCACGTAACGAGTTTCAAGTTCTCTGGCTGACAACCCCGATGTGCACTCTAATTTATCCTTATCCTGTGTTTCCAACCGTGTATTCCTTTACGTAACTTTAGTTGACTCAATTGAGGACCACGTTACTCGATTATTCATTGCAGGCTGCGAAATGACTGGCATTTGTTCGCTAAACACTCCTTCGACGCTATTATGTATTACTGTGGGCGGTGACAATTTTCACCGTTTATTGTAAACATTGAATCAAAGAAGCACTAGGCAATAATGTTGCCAATAAACAATGTTTTCCTTTTTCATGCCTCCTTCTCATATATCATTCGTGCCTAAATACGTATTCCTCTACATGCAAAAAATGTTTTAGGACTAGTACCGCCCCTCAAAATTTATTTCATGACCGTCGAATCACTCTGTATATATACATTCATAAATAGCGATATATGCCTATAAACAAATAAACGTGAAGAAAAGGTTTATGAATAGATTTAGAAAGATAAATATTTTCAACAGTTCACTCAGAGAAGGGTGAAAAATTGCTTTTTTTTTCATCTTTAACTATAAATCTAAGTATTTCTGAAGCATTTTCTTAAGCATTTCTGAAGAAATAAGTTTCTAAGATAAAATAGTAAAATGTTATAGATGCAATATAGTGAGAGAGAGTGAGAGAGAGTGAGAGTGAGAGTGAGACAGAGAGAGAGAGAGAGAGAGAGAGAGAGAGAGAGAGTATTAATTCTTGTTCCAAAAGGGGATGTATTAAGTTAAAAAATTTAAACAATAAAATCAAAAGGCAAATCGAAATTGAAATTAGAAAATAGGATAATCGATATTTCAAATGAATCTGAAAGATTAGAATTTATATTAAAAAAAGATACGACAAGGCAACCAACTCAGTTCATAATTCATGTTTTGGTTAATATTTGGTATTTTAATAATTTTTAGTTCTAAGTTAATTACTTGTCATATTCAAATTAAACTTATCATTTATGTAACATATTTGTTTTTGTAATTTTATTCTTATAATTCTGTAAGTTTAATTTTCTTCTATTTTCTCCTTTCTTTCTTTAACTTCTATTTTTTATTTATTTATTTATATATGGATTATTTTCATTTTTTTTTCTTATCTCACTTGGATGACAGCAATATCTAAACAAAGTCCAAGAACCCATGTGGGCCAACCAAAGGAAAGGGGTTAGCAGTTTCTGTTGTAATGGAACAGGTAAAAGTTTGACTTGGTTTCGTGTCGCTGAAGAAGATGGCAGTACCTTCTGGGGGACTTTTTTGGGGAGAACTACGTTGCATTTGTTTATCGTATGGGTGAAAACCCAGAAAAATTCCTACCAAATAATATGACTCACGAGACAATAGGCTGAAATCACAAACGCCATCGTGCCTTCTCGTTTTTTTCTAAACAGCGCCTATAACAAATCCGCCAGTGGATTGAACCTCCTACCTACTGCTCACCAACGATCAGCGTTGTCACTGAGCCACGAGTCGGGCTTATTTGAATATGAAACTTACTGCATGTTTTAATTTTATTACGTCGTACAAGTACGTCAATCGAAGATGAACGTGATTCTTTTTCTGTTTAGTTCAAATATATGTAAACAGGCTTTACTATCGTAGGTATTTTAATTGAAGGAAAAATTTTATAATCTATAAAAAATTTAATCTATTAATCTTTGAAAGACCTCCAGGAAAACGTCTCTCCTCCAGTTACTGCGGCCTGACGGCCAATTGGTTAGCGCACTGGCCTTTCGTGCTTCAGGTTCGAATCCTGGCGGTGTCATAGATGCTTGTTAGTGATTCGGAATCCACGTTAAACTCTAAGTCTCGGTCTAAAGTGTGCATAAAATGACCGTAAAGCCTAAAGTGTAGATAAAAGCCTAAGGCTAAAAGTGTGCATAAATTAACCGTAGAGCGACAAAACAAATTAGGGTTTGTAACGGTACTTTTCATATCGGGTAACCAGTATGCAAAAAATACTAAAAATAAGGATAAAAGTATCATAATGTTTCAAATTTAAAGTTCATACTATCGCTAGTATGAACTAAATGTCTTGATTCAATATCCAAAAGCTGCAAGAGGACTAGAAACAGCAAAATAGATTTTTAAAACAGCTTTAAAAATCGTCCTTCAGTTAATACTGTCTGCTTACTATTGACTGTATTTTGGTTGAAGGTTAGTAAATTGTTAGTTTATTAACTCTTAAAAGACCACCAAGAAAGCTAATATACAACCAAGTACCAATATGCACCAATAACCAAAAAAGCTAGTGTCTCTCTTTGGGCTTGTAAAGATGTCCTAATCTCCTCATATCAGGTAACTAGCACGCAAAAAGTACTAGAAATAACCATAAAAGATTTAGAATTCATATTGTTGCTTTTATGAACTAAATGTCTTGATTCAATATCCAAAGCCGAAAGAGGCCTAGAAACAGCAAACTAAATTTTTAATAAGTGCCTTAAAAATTGTCCTTCAGTTTTAACTGTGAAATCTGAGGAATAATAATTAGTTGGTAATCTTTATTTTTTGTTCTTCAAAACGTAGTAAAAAAGAACTAGGACTACTGACTATTGTTACTATTGTAACTATTGTAACTATAAGTTACTAATGACTGTATTTTGGTTGAAGGTTAGTAAATTGAGGAATAATAATTAGTTTGTAATCTTTATTTTTTGTTCTTCAAAACGTAGTAAAAAAGAACTAGGACTACTGACTATTGTTACTATTGTAACTATAAGTTACTATTGACTGTATTTTGGTTGAAGGTTAGTAAATTGTTAGTTTATTAATTCTTAAAAGACCACCAAGAAAGCTAATATACAACCAAGGACCAATATGCACCAATAACCAAAAAAGCTAGTGTCTCTGTTTGGGTTTGTAAAGATGTCCTAATCTCCTCATATCAGGTAACTAGTACGCAAAAAGTACTAGAAATAACCATAAAAGATTCAGATTTAAAATTCATATTGTTGCTTTTATGAACTAAATGTCTTGATTCAATGTCCAAAGCCGAAAGAGGCCTAGAAACAGCAAACTAAATTTTTAATAAGTGCCTTAAAAATTGTCCTTCAGTTTTAACTGTGAAACCTGAGGAATAATAATTAGTTAATAATCTTTATTTTTTGTTCTTCAAAACGTAGTAAAAAAGAACTTTGCACAAGTCTCATTCGCGCGTGAATTGTAAAGCGCCGAAAACTCTCTTTATTTTCTCTCTCTTATCTCCTTTGTGAAAGAGCAAAACGTTCCTGCCCCGAGCCAATCCATTTCAAAAGCCGTTTTCCCTAAAATTCAAAACGGCGCCAAAACGGAGAAAGAAGGGGTTGTAGGGGGTAGGGCAGGGAGAAATTCGGTAATCTCAGAGGCAGACGGAGTTGAACCGGCGGGCGAGTAATACGAGACGCGCTTTTAAATCTCGGCCATTTTGCTTGTTAGGGAAGGGGGATTACAGGGTAAAAAGAAAAGATATTTTTCTGTAACGAAAAGATTACCTGCCGGAAACAAGGGCGAGGGATTAAAGAGGGGAGGGGGGCTTTCCCGACGCACGCAATCCTTGCTGCACTAATTAGGGGGCCATAAAAAAAGCCCCTTTCAGATCGTTATAAAGACCTCGTTTTCAGTGGCGGGGTTACAGGATGCAGAGAGGCGGTCCTTGGCGAGTTCGCCATCGTCCAAATCTAGCGTTCGTGTCTGTGACAGTACAATAATTGTACATTTGAGAGTCTACATCAACAAAAACGTACTGCATAAAATTCAGGGATAAATTTGCCTTAAAATTAACAACACCTGACGATAATCTATGTCAATAAATACAAACAGGGGTTTTTAAGAAATAATTTTTGTTTGTTGTTGTTGTTTCCTATCCCACTTGGCTGGCCAAGCCCACGAGCCCATACTTACTCATGATTGAAGGGGAAGGAAGCAGCTTCTGTTGTGATGGAGCACCCGAAGGTAGAAGTCTGACTTTGGCTCCGTGACGCTCTTACAGTCATAGGAGACCGGGACCTACGGCTTAAAGTGGATTCCGAACCACTACAAACATCCATGGCACCGCCGGGATTCGAACCCGAAACCTGTGGTACCGAGCGCCAGAGCGCTAGACACTCGGACATTCAGGTCCCAAATGTGTGAAGGCCAACGGCACGCGGTGTTCCCAGGTGGTCACCCACCCAAGTACTGACCGCGCCCAATGATGCTTGACTTCGGTGATCTAACGAGAACCGGTATATTCAGCATGGTATGGCCGTTGGCAGAAGAAATAATTTTTTCCTATACTTAATGTTATTAATCTCTCTCATGCAGAAAGACCTACACTAGGTCCAAAAGACCCCGTCGCAAGCGACTGGTCCACGGCTAAGGGTAATGTGCAGTTTGAAGATAGACTACGGAAGCAAGTAACACTACCCCTGCAACGGTCTACGATCCTATAAAACCAGGATCTACTGTTTAAAGTGGATACCGAACCACTACAAACATCCATGGCACCGCCGGGACTCGGCCATCAGGCTCCATCAAAGCGAAATATTTTGAACTTTTATTCAAATTTAAATAATTGAAACTTCTTATTGATTAGAAAGTTACAAAAAATTCAAAAGAAGAAAATACTCTTTTAAGTTTTAAATTTTAAATAGTACTCATAGAAATGTTTTTTATACGAGGCTGATGATTATAAGATCATTGATCACATTTTAAAGGATCGTGTATATTTATCGTGTATATCGTCATAAAACTTTTCTGATCAAAGATGCTACTTTCAATCACCATTATGGGTACCCCGCCAGCGACGTTTCTCTGATAATTCGGCATTGGATCGTTGGCATCCATATAATAATACCGATACACTTACACAAAGATTAATAATTAATACAGATCTATATTAAAAATAATATTAGTTTTAAAAAAAAAACCCAATTTTATTTCATTTCTTCAAGCAAAAATTCAAAATCATGAAATATATTACGTCTGTACGGCATTGTACTAGATGGCGTATTATATTCAATTAACAATAAAATAAGTTGAAAATAGATAATTAGATTAATAGTTAATATATAATAGAAAATAGATAACAATAAACTTTTTTTCAACTTATTCTTTAACGTCTTCAAGGGCAATTTTTTTATAGTGAGAAAAAAAAATATTTAAATATTTGGTTTATTACGTTTTATTGAGGAGAACAATAAAAATGCCCCAAAATCGTAACTTCCACATTTGTGGCCGCTGAGAGTTAAAAGTAATTTACGAGCGAAATGATTTCGTACATTCAGGTAAAAATAACTAATTAACTATTCATTAAAAAAATAACTAATTAACTATTCATTAAAAAAATAACAATTCATTATTAAAAGTAAATATATTTAATATATATTATGTATTATTTTTAACAAATAATAAAAATTTGTCAATAATCCAACAATAGTTACGGTCAAAATACTATGTTTTCATATTCCTAACCGTACACTGTAAATACCGTTATCAGTACAGTGCATAAGATTTTTATTTTCTTTGTTAAGAGATTCTCTAGTGAATAACTTATTATCCCATTTGTGTTCTTTTTATTAATGATAGTAATTATAATTATAAAAAAACAGAATTGTGTCTGCCAATAAGGTCTTTTTATTGAGTTAAGAAATCTGTTTAAATCCAGTTCATAAGCAGAAAAACTAAATTCTTGTTATATAAAACCCTTATTAGACCTATTTTGGTCTATGACTCTGAAACTTGAACTTTGGCAAGATCTGATGAGACCCATTTGGACATATTTGAGCGGAAGATTTTAAGGGTTATTCTTGGAGGTGTTAAGGAAAGTGATTGTTGGAGAAGACGGTACAACGCAGAAATTTATAAATGAAATAAAGACCCAGATATTATATAATTTATTAAGATCAATAGATCAAACCGGTTACTCATGTATTTAGAATGAATAATTTTAAAACCTGTAAAAAGGCTCGTTTTGTCAAAGCCACAGGGACAAAGAGGAAGAGGGCGACCCAAGTTGGGATAGACAGACGCAGTTGAGAAGGATTTTGGTGTACTAGGGGTAAAAATTAGAGGACCCTTGTCACCTAGAGGAATGCATGGAAATCTCTTTAAAGGAAAGCATTGACCCACTCTGGGCTGTCGTGCTATTGAAGATGATGAATTATAATTATCAGAAACTAAATGTCCACATATGCGGCCGAGGCCGTCAAGAGTTATAGATTGGTTAATATGGTTAGAAATCATCAAGTCTTATTAAAAGCATTCAAGCACTAGCTGATTTCAAAACTGTTGCAAATTAACACTCTAATCATCACCAGTACTCGAATGTAGAAAGCTCATAACACTTCAGTGTGTGAATCATTCTAATTATTTAATAAACTTTCCGTGAATTACTTTGGGTGCTATATTTCCTCTGAACTATTTTGCCTTTTAAATTAAATGTCACAACAGGTACATCCATTTATGTGCAAAAAAAAAAAGAAAATAGTCGCAAAGAGTAACTGTTTCGACCACTTTTGCTCGAGGCAGAAAGCAACATTAAATAAAAGTGTAGGAAGCTCTTATGAAAAGGTAATGAATTCGTGGCAAATCCCGCGTGATGGACGAGGCTCACCTGGCTTCTTCCTCCGGAAGTGAACGCCTCAGCTAATTTCCCCAGAGATGCGTAAAAGAAAGGGATTTCCCCGCCCCCTTTACTCCAAGAGGGAAAGACAAAGGGAGGGAGTTGGGGGTTCTTCAGCAGCAAGTGTCTGCGACTCATCAATCAGCTTTTAGAGTAACGAATGCTGCTTTTAATATCCTAGACTTAATATGCAAAATGAATGCGCGGAAAAATGGAGGAAAATTTTAATGAATACAGAGTAAAGTCAGTTTCTAAGGAACTTCTGCTGTCTGTCCCATGTGGAGTGGTGTAATGCGAGATGATGCCGGGCTTATTTCTGAGAATGTTTTTTCTTGAATGATGTTGCAACACGCGTACACAAGACTGAACAACCAAGGACTAGGTACATAAGACTGAACATATAACGACTAGATTTGAAGACTGGGCATACGATTTAACATGCAAGAACTGGATTTGAATAGTGGACACACAAGTACTAGATTTGAAGAGTAACACACGATTAAATACACATGAATGAACACAGAATGACTAGATTTGAAGACTAACACACGATTAAATATACAAGATTGAACATAGAATGACTAGATACACGAGACTCAACACACAATGATTAGATATACAAGATTGTACACACAGTGAATAAATTTAAAGAGTGGACACACAAGGGCTAGATTTGAAGATTGACACACGACTAGATACATAAGACTGAACACACATTGACTAGATATACAACATTGTGCCAACAATGACTAGATTTGAAAACTGGATATACGATTAAATACAATTAAACACGCAAAGACTAGATTTGAAGAGGACATCAGGACTATGTTTGAAGACTAGATTTGAATGATTTTCTAATGACTAGATTTGAAAACCGGACATGTGATTGAACACGGAAGGACTTGATTTGAAAACTAAACATACGATTGCACAAGCAAGGAGTTGATACGAAGAGTGGACACACATGACTAAATACATAAGACTGAGCACACAAGGACTAGATTACGCAAGTTGCTCCAAGCACTTTAACATTCTCTAAGCAATGTTTTTTAAGCCGAATAAAGCAATAAAAGTAAAGCAGACATATATTTGAATTTAAAATAAACATATAGAAAAATAATAAATAAAATTTACAAGAGATTGAAATCGCGTATTTGACGTCAGAAAAATCAATTAGATTATTGAGACTGATTTCACTAGATTTCTGATTTAAAACCTAAATTTTGAACATCTATAAATTTATTTAGAATAGGGCACATGTGCAATAAATATATATATTTTTACTGTTTTTAAGAGGCAAAAATAATCTCCGAATCATCCGACGATTTCCAAATAAAAGACATTTAGACCCACTGATAGGTGATTCAGAAAACAAATCCTTGCCAAGATATAACTTCCAATGTGATTGTAGAAAGACCGGTCTTGATCAACCTGAAATTATCTTCCATTGTAAATCCCATTTCAAGATGAGTCGTAATGACTGGCACAACAGTATTTAGAGATAGCAGGATTACTTTCGCACTTGTCACATAATTTGGCATTACATTATTTTAAAAGTTATACATAAACGGCTACTTCTAATGTTGCCATTGATTTTGAATCCCTTACTTTAAAACAATCTCAACTGTCTGTAAGCTTTTCTGATTTTTTTTGGCAGCCAACTCACAATAAAACACAGTTAAGGGTGGTGGAATGATTCCAATAAGTTGTCGATTCTTCTCACAGATTTTGAAAAAATAAAATAAACCATTGTCTGCCTGTCTTGGTTGAAATTAAATGCAAGCACCACTCGCATACATCGATAATAAACTGATTACAATTTCAACGGCGTAGAAGGCAATAATGACTATTGATTATTAAATCAATAATGAGTAAGACCTTCCCTGGATGCTTCTACAAAGGTAGGTGAGGAATTATATAGATTTCATGCATTGCTATTGCGATATATTTTTCATACACTCTCTGCTTGTTGCTACAGATTTTTATCATGTTATGGCGGCTTACCATCACTTATACATGCTCCGTTGTTACATTCATGCAACATTACATGCATGCGATAGTTTTTCCATACATTCTGTACTTGTTGCAACAGAACTTCGTTATCTTATGGTGGCTTACCATCCCTTATACATGCTCCGTTGTTACATTCATACAACATTACATACATGCGATAGTTTTTCCATACATTCTGCACTTGTTGCAACATAACTTCGTTATCTTATGGTGGCTTACCATCCCTTATACATGCTCCGTTGTTACATTCATACAACATTACATACATGCGATAGTTTTTCCATACATTCTGTACTTGTTGCAACAGAACTTCGTTATCTTATGGTGGCTTACCATCCCTTATACATGCTCCGTTGTTACACTCATACAACATTACATACATGCGATAGTTTTTCCATACATTCTGTACTTGTTGCAACAGAACTTCGTTATCTTATGGTGGCTTACCATCCCTTATACATGCTCTGTTGGTAAAAAAAGTTTGATGACTTTGTTGGCCAAAGATGGATTTGAACACTATAGTAGGAATGTAGAGGGATTGGCATTGTCATATTGAAAAATGACTTCAAGATGGCTACCATAAAAGACAGCACAATCGATCACATGATGCCATCAAAATATCGTTGAGCTGTCA